AGGAGGATGAGGAGGCAACTGACATAAAATCTAACAACCCTCACCTGGCAGGCGGGGAAATACGTATTCTTGCAATTTCCCAATGTTCCATCCTGATTTGTGGATACCCCCCCTCAAACACATGCTATATCCATCTATATCCACTTTAAAGCTGTTTTTTTAAAAACCGTCCCCCCTTAAAATTGTAATAAAATAAAAAATAGAAAGAGGGAAAGAAAGAGAAAGAAATATAGAGAGAGAGAGAGTGAAAGAGAGAGAGAAAGAGAAAGAGAAAGACAAAGAGAAAGAGAAAGAGAATAAGAAGAGAAAGAGAAAGAGAAAGAGGCAGAGAAAAGAAAGAGAAAGAGAAGGAGAAAGAGAAAGAGAGAGAGAGAGAGGGAGAGACGAAGAGGAAGAGGAAGAGAAAGAGAATGAGGGAGCGGAAGGGAAGGAGACGGAGGAAGAGGAAGAGGAACAGAAAGAGAAAGAGAAGAGAAAGAGAAGAGAAAAACTGAGAGAAAGAGGGGAAAAAATGCGTTTTTGTAAAAATGTTTTTTTCTTTTCTTGGTTCCAGGATCAGGTTTTAGAAAAGTTTGCTGCAAATGTGAACCATGGGAACAAACCTACTAAAGTGAATTAGGCCCTCTCATGGTCCAGTGCATTGGAAATTTGTGGAAAAGTAGTTTTTTTTTTTAATAATAAAGGTTTAACAAGCGATCTGATTCTTGTGGGAAAGGCAGACACGCAATATTTTTCCAGAAAATGTGTTAAGTTGTTTTCCGGACAAATAATATTTTGACAAAAAAATGTGTCTGCGAAAAATTCGTGCAATAATAGTTACACTTCAAAACATAAAATGGTTCAGAATAATTTGGATTTGTTTAGCCACAATAGCTAACCTAGCTACGAATCCGGATGCAACATTACGTGAATCTGTTTGCTACTGATTGCCTTCCCAGTTCAATCTAGGTGTGTACATCCAAGGGAGCGGTTTCCGGCAAATTTTAGGAGAATCGCAGCATACCGATGTATAGGTCGATATACCATGATATATCCATGCCATGCTTCCCTCTCAGTTCATCCAGTTCATCCAACATGCTGAGGACAGATGGACCGTCAGAAATATGCTGATATGAAAGCAGCTGGACTTCCGATGCCAAAGCGTTCGCACAAAGCCTGGCTGCTTGGATCAGAATAGATCGCACATGACGGCACGCCTGGCGTGCCCAAGAGATTACTTGCTAGACCATGGTTGAAATGCTGGAAACGCGGGTTCATTTGCTTCATTGCTTTTAGTTTCTTGCGTTTAGAAGTTGTCCAAGTGGGAGGCGCGATCATCGTTGGCATTCCTTGGTAATGCTTGAGCTGTTTGAACAACCTAGAATCTAAATTCTATGAACTCGTAGGTTTCTTGACGCAAAACTGGTTTGAAAGGTCAAATGAACTGTGTATCATCCTTCCTTCAACAGTACGCCAAACATAGAATTAATAGAATTAATGTTGAAAATATTTTGAACACATTTTGTTCAGTTTTTTTCCACTAGGCTCTACAAGAGACCCATTCGCCGATTCGATCACTACTGTCGATGGGTCACAAATGCACCATGGCTGCAGCTGTGTTTGCCTTTAGTATTGAATCCTGCTGGCTGAAAGTTGCAATTTACAGTCCATGACCCCCTCAAAAAAAAAACGATGTCGAACATGATACTAGGTGAGCTCGTATATAGATAGAGTATGATGAGTATGGTAGAGAAAAAAATGATGAAGTCGCGCTGCAAGCTTTGTCAAGGTGATAGGGCTCAACAACCATCGAGAATTTATGGCTGCAAGCTGAGAGCTGCTGTCAAGCTATCCGTACCGTGTTTGGGCATAAACTTTCTTGATATTGTCAATGATGTCGGAACGCTCAGCTGACGTCAATGTAGACATCGGACATGAATGCAGGATGCATTTTGAACCTTTGTAATTATGGTGAGTGTTTTTCATGGTGGATTTAGCAAACTATTCTCAATCACCTCGGCTTTGGACGACCCATCATGCCCAGCTACAAAACCATACTGTGTGCATTTGTAGCTGATTGAAAAAGGACTGTCAATATAGGACCACATATTATGATTATAGAGAAGATATTGTAGGCTAAGGATCAAAGGCTTAATGACCAACTTGGAAAGTGTCAGAACAGCATGGATCATATACTGTGTGCTGTTCAAAAGGCAGCACGGCTATGAGCCATGGTGACATCCAATGGTTTTGATTTCGACGAATTGGACCGTTTAGAATTGCTGCAAGAGGGCACGAAGAAGCAGGAGGAGTGCACGCACACGGCGGTAGCATTCTAGCTGAGGGCTGCTATTTTGCAATTGCTATGAATAAACATCCGACATCCATGTAATAGCAGCTGCAAAGAATGCTTGGTAAAGATGGGAAACAGATTGTGAAAGTAGCATCCAATAGCAGGACCAAGAGGATGGGAGCAGAGATGAAATTCAGAATGATGATGAAAGTGACGATGAAGAAGCCGAGGTGGGAGTTTGGTGATAACTCTGCAAGCCTGCATAGTCCTGATTTGGCAATTCTGGTTAGGTAATTCAGAGGGTGGCGTTCAATATTGGGCTGCATTTGGCAAAAGACCAGTGTCCCTTCAATTCCACTTAGTCCACTTATATAGTTTTCAATTGTACTTTTTCATTATAGAACTAAAGTAAGGTACTTGAAAATCCGTCAGTTCACCTACTGCCAGCTTTGAGATGCTTTGAGGGCAAGGAAAAGTATCTTCATGTTTGTCTTCTTGTTAGTTTCCTTGTCTACGTGGTCTCGTTGCTTCGATGTGCCATCGTTCAATGGAGAAAAACACGCCAAGATACGCTGAGCTGTACAAAAGTTCGCCGTTGACATGCCCAAACTTGCTATATGTCCAAAGTGCCGGAAAGCGCAAAGGGACCACAAGCGGGCCAGGTTTAACTTGCTATTTGTTTCACCAATGTGCTGATTCAGCATGATCCAGCCGCGGGCCAGGTTGCTGAGGATGGCCTTTTTGATTACGAGGTGCGCTGCACCGTGGCTTCGGGAGAGCCGGTGAAGGGCCTGGAACTACCTGCGGGTCGTGACCAAGCAGCCACGGGACCGGCATCTTCGGACAGGAAAGAGGCTATGGGCCATACTGACCATACTGGCCCATCGTCCTTGCGTGAAGCTGGAAACAACTGTTGCTCAGAGCTGCTGAACAGTGGGATTTTAAAGGGAAGGATCTGAGAATCTTAGAGGTGATTTTGACTTTGGACATTTCAGGTAAAACAACGCTAAGCCGCTATCACGAGATCACGAGGAAACATGGGCACGTTGCTCACAACTGTGAGGACTCAAGTTGCAATCACAACTGTTTGACTGTTTTTGAAATTGAAGTTGCTCCTATGATGAGTCGTTGATGGTTTCTTTCTTGCTGTGGGATCTTGTGGTGCGCTTTTTTTTTTGGTAGAGCACCGCTTCTTTGCAACGCTGTTCTGTTGCTTGTTCTCATTTCTTTGTTTCTGCTCCCGCCTTTCTGTTGTTGTAGAATTTGTTCTCATACTTGTTTGCTCACTGTGCGGATAAGTTGCTCAGCTTGACGTGAAGATCAGTTCTGTGCTTTCACCACCACTCACCTAGACCATCATCAAATATGGCACTGCTGTATGGTCCATTTTTCGGAGGTATGCGTTTGCCGAACCGTTATGAACCGTTTGCCTTGGCCCTGGTAAGATTAGTTTCTTATTATATACTTATAGTTGCCACGCAGACGTTTTTTTTTCCTCATCCCGCAGGAATGGTTCCATTCTCACATAGAACCCAAACCCAGGTTTTCGGGCCGGAGACTTTCAAGGTGCTGAGTGCCTCTAAGCTGCCACTATCCGTGGATCTTAGGACACAAACAAATATGAAATATACATCAATGTGGTCAAGCAAGATATGGGATTGGTTTGGTGTGGTGCTCACTTCGACAAAACTCTTTTGATAGAGACGACTCTATGATACACTACGATACCAATTGTGCTCATGGTTGCCTGACGCATGAGATAATCATTCAACAGCAATAAATTATAAAAAATTCTGCTGTCCATTGAGTCCATTGCCCCAGGTCTCTATTCCACTGCTTTGCACACTTCGGGCGAGCTTCCGAGCCCTCGTTTGTTCTCAAATCGGGCTGCTGCACGCCTGAAACTGGCGAAGTGGGAAGAGGCCTTACACGACATCATGGAGGCAACCAAGAGGGATCCAGCGAATCCGAAGGTTTGTCGTTGCCTCAGAGATATGCTGAGATGTAAACATCGTTATCTCATGGGTGTTGAAATAGGTTTGGCTAGTGGAAAGCTAGGGATGTAGATTGTAATGATTGTAGATGCCACATGCTGCAGGCTCTCACATTCACATTCAGCGAAAACATACATTTGTATACACTTATATAAGGTAGAATTAAGCAACTGTTGTTGGTTTGGAACTTGTTCCTTGTGGGCTACAGCGACTAAACAGTGATGGTCAGGTCATTGACAAGTCTTTTACCATGTTTGTTTGGCTCGAGCTTCAATCAAACTCACGAACTATCGTTTTACTCTTTGCTGACTCTGTAACTCAGAGGACGCAGACTGAATCATGACTTCATTGCATCAAACTATCTCCGTGACTTTGCTAGTGGTCCTTCTGCCTTTTGGCGAGATGCTCAATGTGAAGAAGGGCTCCAAGATGCCTTGGAATCAACAGAAATGTACTGCTTTGGAGAACCACGAGGTCTATACCTCAGTGAAGGTAGCCATAGGCAATCCTCCGCAGAACTTTGACTTGGTGGCCGACACGGGAAGTGACAACTGCGTAGTCTACGACTGTTCCTGCAAGGAATGCCCAGATGCTTGGGGATCCTGCTTCACCGGCCCAGCTCGCTCAAACTCATTCAAATTGCCCATGTTCAAGGTGCGGCAGAAAGGGTCAGAAAGGGTCAGAGAGGGTTTGGGACTGCGTATATATTCATCAATAATCATACATACATATATAAATACCACATCTGCCGGAGCACTAGTTTCCATGTCTAGGAAAGCTAAAGGATTTGAAATTTTATGCGAATTATTGCCGTAGTTCGGCTTGTCCCTCGGTCCATCTTGGGCCAACCACAATGAAATGATAGAAGATCGAGCTTCCCTAGAAGGCGAAGCTATGCAGCCAACTACGAGTCAGCAGCTAATATTGATGTTCTTGTTGTTTTAGATGATTCATGGGATTGTTTTGGAAGATGATGCTTTAGCGTTGAGTTGTTGTTGGCTTTGAAGCACCTATCCTTATCATAAGGGAAGCGCTTTACAGTTATGTGCAACTTGATCTGTTGCATCAAAACAAATCTGGGATTCAACATGTCCCAGAGCCCGTTCTGTTCATTGCTGCCATGCCCGAGTTTGCACCATGTTCTGTGCATGTAGAGGTCGATGAACACAACCCAAACAACGTGACCACGGCCCCGGCCTCCATGGTGATGCGCTTTGGCAGCGGCGATATCTCTACGAAGATCGCATCAGACGAGGTGCAAATTGGCCCTTTGAAGGTTTACATGGAGAACGGGCTGCTGCTCATGGTACCTAGGATGAAGAATGATGAAGATGGAGGCAAATGGAATCAAATGGATGCAGATGTAAATTAATAACAGGGGCTTGCGTGCCAGATCACATCGTTGGGACTTGAGCGCTGACGGACGATAAGTATCGGTAAAGTGTTTTCCTGAGATCAGCTGCAAGGGTTACCAAATGTGACTAATTTGTCCCGATTTTAGGTGGCCACACCGTTTCCTCCATGGAGTCCCCGAAATCACCCAGGTGGATCAGGCCTTGTCGCTGACGGGTCATTTCGAAGGTATTCTGGGCCTTGGTCGCCCACCGGACCGGGAGCGCGCCAATCTTGCCAAGGTCCAGGTTCCAGGCTTCTTGGAGCGCGCCCACGTGCAACGCTTCTCCATGTGTTTCAATCACAACGCTCCAGGTGTCCTGGGATTTGGTACTCCCACTCATCGGAAGCCCCTGAGCTCTGTGGGCAAAGCACATTGGTCGTTGAACTTTCACGGCATTACCTTTGGCCAGGAGAAACTTGGAGACAATTTGAAGTCTGACCTTGCAGAAATCTGGTTTCACTGTGTCTCACTGGCTGCCGAAGTATTTAGCCCCCCAGCAACCTTCACACTTCATCGTTTCAATACGGCTTCAAAGTTCAACAGTTGGATATAAGTGGATGAACATGAAAAATACGTACGACAAGTTGGTCAACGGATGAGTTGAGTCAACTGTATAGTAAACCCACTCGCTGAGGATTTGAACTTGCTGAGGGAATACTGATAGGTTGAGCCTTCTTTTGATGTATAGATCTGAAATACTGAAATATATGTGACTGCCTTCCAACTTTCAGTGTTTTTCGACTGTTTTGGTTGGGTGTCACATGATACACGAGTATGATCAGAACATTCTGGTTGGTACTCGTATATAATTGTTGGTGTATGTATACAATACAGTACATACAGTGCATACATACAGTACACACATACATGCAGTACATACGGCATACGGTACAAACGGTACATACAGTACATACATACAGACATACAGTACATTCGATGCATACAGTAAACACAGTACATACATCACACCACATCGCACCACACCACATTGCATCACATCACATTCACACCACATTACAGTCATCACAGACACCACAATACATCACATCGCACAGCACCGCACCACACTACATTACAGACACGACACGACACGACATGACATTAGTTACTGGTACCATATTGTGCATAACTTCATATAACTCATTCATTTAAGTATTTAACTCCATATATAACTTCATATAACTTCATATAATATGATTATATATGATTATGACAATGCATACTCTTCCCTGATTTACGACGCCCATGCCCATGTTGTTGAGATGGTATTTCCGCGCTTTGATATGGGAGGGATGTGGGAGAAGGCACAAGACCGGGCGCCTCCAAGGAACTCAAAGCTGAGTTTCTGCGGGTCTGGGGTGCAATGCAGCATCATCCCAGACAGCGGCACCACTTTGCTGGTTGGTCCAGAAGAACCGATTCTTAGCATCTACGAGGCTTTGTGTAAGAGCCACTTGGTCCTGCAACTGCTTTGCCGAGTTGGTTTGTAAATGTTTGTAATGTTTGAATATCTATAATTATCGAAGGAAGTTTAGAAGTCAAACTTCCGACAATATGGACAGATGAAAAGCAGAGCAGGGAAGAGGCAGAGAGAAGAGAAAGATTAGAAGAAAGAAGAGTAGAAGAAAAGAGTAAGAAGAAAGAAGATGCAGATGCGTGAAAAGGTAGGAAAGTCGCGAAACACTGGTTTTTCCAATGATTTGGGGCTCCGGAGGGTCGAAAAGTAGGCTCGCTAAAGCGGCGGGTGCGGAGCCAGCTGGCCAGATGAGAGATGAAAAATTGCACGCCGTTGTGGCGCGAAGCACATTTCCAAGTCAAAATGTACAAAACACACCAGGTCCGGACCACTTTTGGAAGTTGGGATGTCGAAAAAGTGCACGCCGTTGTGGCGCGAAGCACATTTCCAAGTCAAAATGTACAAAACACAACAGCTCGGACCACTTTTGGAAGTTGAGATGTCAAAAAAGTGCACGCCGTTGTGGCGCGAAGCACATTTCGAAGTCAAAATGTAGAAAACACCTCAGGTCGGACCACTTTTGGAAGTTGCGATGTCGAAAAAGTGCACGCCGTTGTGGCGCGAAGCACATTTCCAAGTCAAAAGTGTAAAAAACTGACGGTCTCGGACCACTTTTGGAGGTTCCGATGTGGAAAAAGTGTCGAAAAAGTGCACGCCGTTGTGGCGCGAAGCACATTTCGAAGTCAAAAGTGTAAAAAACTGAGGGTTTTGAGCCTTTTTTGACGTGAAGATGTCGAAAAAGTAGACAGTGATTAACTTAACTAACTTGACTAACTTCACTAACTTAACTACCCTAACTTCGACGACAACAGCAACAGCAACAACAGCAACAACACCAACAACACCAACAACACCAACAACACCAACAACACCAACACCAACAACAACAACAACAACAGCAACAGCAACAGCAACAGCAACAGCAACAGCAACAGCAACAGCCACAACGACAACGACAACGACAACAACAACAACAACACCATCCACAACAACTACAACTACAACAACAATAGATCGATAGATGGAGAGATGGAGAGAGAGAGAGAGAGAGAGAGAGAGATAGATAGATAGATAGATAGACAGATAGATAGATAGATACATAGAAAATAGATGGGTAGGTAGGTAGATAGCCAGAGAAAGAGAGAGAAAGAGTGAGAGAGATCAAGCACCTTTCAGTCCATCAGTGGCTTTGTTCTGCCATCCCTGATTCACAACAACCAATTTCTCCTATAGGATTCCTATTTTTGAAACTTCCGCCACCGCCTTGTGCGGTACTACTGGTATCTAGAATGAATTGGAATGATTTGTGATTGCATCGCCCTTTTTGGGGAGAACACATGTTCGCAATTGTTCGCAACTTGTTTTCTACAATGAAAACACTATAGACTATAGATTATTGGATGCCGTTTTTTTAAGTGACACAAAAAAGTGTGCCCATGTCAGCTTACGTCGCACTTCCAAACCCAAGGCTGGGAGCGGTGCAACAAGATGTACGAGAAGCTGAAAAAAGAAATGTTCCACCTGGCCGGTGCTGGGATTGAAGTGGAGGGACTTGAAGACGCTTGCAAAATGCTTTCAGCACTGCAGGTTGCTGACAAACCCACCTTTTTTTATCGCAATTTCAATGTATTTCAATTTATCATCCATATTGGGAACTGGTTTGCGATGTCAGTAAATTATGTGAGCAAAATTTCACCATTCCGCATCATTCCGCCCAGCCTGAGGCCCAGCCCAAGGCAAGCCTGCGTTTGTCCCCACCTGAAGGTCTCATGGCTACGGTGGCCAAGCTTGCTGCCAGAAGCGGGGAAGATCTCAGTCCGACGCCTGTCACGCCTGTGAACCTCACTCGGTTGCAAGATGTTAAAGATGTGAAAGATGGAGCTGATACTTTGCTTCCGAAAAAGGCACAACTTGGAAACTTGCTTCAATTCGGTCTCTCAGGGACTTGTTTGTTTTCTATCTCAAGCCAGATTGGAAAAGAGCCTGTTCGATGTGGGAGTCGTTTTTTGATTTGGACTCTTTTTATCTCTTTTTACGTGAAGATCTTGAAGCCTCCCTGGTCGTTTACCCAGGTGATAAAAATGAAAGCTATGAAGTGTCTCCCGGAATGACCCTTCGGCTCTTGCTCCAGCACTGCACTGATTGGATGAGCCAAGTGGACATCAATGCAGACACTTCCGGTAAGAGTTTGTGTTGTGTTTATTTGTTTTTCATCTTTGAATGTGAGTATATTGAGTATATACTCCGTTTCAATCCTTTTCAGAATTCTCTTTGCACTTGACAGGAGTTGGAAGTGTTTCCTGTAGGACCTAAAAGACACAATATACATCAATATACATCAATATACAAATATATATATATATATATGCAATATGTGTGTGTGATTCATATCACATAGACAGCAGGCAACAGCTGGCAGTTTCAGATGCAGCAGAGTGAGTCTGAGACAGTTTTGGGACATTTTTTTTTGCCATAGTTGGTTTTGTCCCCAACACTGTTGGCTTTGTCAGCTGAGGAGATGCCTGACCTAGTCTTTCACGTCACAGACAAGAATGGCAACGCAGAAGAACTGAAGATTTCTCCTCGAAGCTATGTTTTGGCCAAAACTGTGGATGTTGAGGCAGGATTCCGGACAAGCTGAGAACCGTAGTGATCATTGAATTGGATCAAATCATATCAAACATTTATCAAACCATGTCAAGGCTATCGGTCCCTACAGGAATCATCAGGAATCTATGGTGCACTTGGCCTTTTCCTTGACCTGATGCCGATCCAGGTGCCGGGGGTGAGTAACATTTTCGGTATGCGCTTGAACACGAAGCACAAAGAGAGGAAACAGGTTTGCGTCATGGGCTTTAGCCCTGCAGACTATCAAACGCCAACGGATGGGCAAATCTGGATTCTCGGAATGCCTCTTTTCTATGAGCAGCTTGCTTGAATTACTTGGATTGGAGTTTTTTCTGGGCAATTTATCCTCAATCACATCATAGCTATACATCTGGAAATACATATCATATATAATTACGTGTATACATATATATATATATGTGTGTGTTTGTGTGTGTGTTTGTTTGTTTTCAACTTGATTGAATGATGGTGAGGAAGTTGATGTTCAATTATTAAATATTAAGTGTTTGGGAATTGGCCGAACTTGTTGGCAAGTCCATAACTCGCCGTGGCACCAAGGTACACAGCACATTATGATCGAGGGAATGCGCCTGAAGAGGTGACCATGGGATTTACCTCACAACATGATGAAGCCTGTGGCTTGCAGGGCAATATTTGGCGTCTCCCATTTCCATGGCCATGTTATATCATGTTCTATCAATTTATGTGATGCATATATATATATATAAATATATATATATTGATATATCATGTTACCAACGAGTCTTCTTGATCATTGTTGATTTATATAGAGCCGTGTATTGCACGGGAAGTGTATGTCCAATGGCAAGGTTTTCAATTGTCAAGCAGAAACAGCTTCATGTCTTGGACCTAGGTGGGCAGTGTGATGACAATGTGATCATTAGACAGGAGTCACTTCTTGCTGAGCAAGCAAGGGACGTCAGCAAGGCAAGCGTGGGATTGGAATCCCTGAACACCTTGTCCAGGAAGCCAATTATCCGAGATTTATCTGACATAGACCATCTTTGAGGAAAGCTATGGAAAGCTCAAAGAGGCTGATCACCTTTTTTCACATGTTCTCACATTGCATCGGCTTCACACTTGGCGCCCAGTCGTGGCGAAACTTGCAAAAAGTCTGCTGACCGCGCTTCAAGCTGATAGGGATCTCTAGGGCAGTTGGAACATGTTGGAACATGTTGGAACATGGACTAGGAGATACCAGGAGCATTTAGCAACTGAGCGGTCATGTTGGTCGTTGCCACAACTGCACGGTGATAGGTTTAGCATGGTTTAGCTCATTTTAGCGCCAATCGGATGTGATCATCACAAAAAAAACAATACAAAACATCAATTTTAGTTCGTGAAAAGAGGATCCAATTAAAATTAAATCTAATTGGTAAAACATGGTAAAACCAGTTCATAAACATCCACACAATCGCTGCGTCGTGTCGATGTGCTCAGCTGGGCCAATCGCTGAGGTGAGCGCTTTGCTCGGTGCTTGCTGCTGAACAATCGGCTTCCCGAAGGCCAGAAAAATCTCAGGAAAATGAAGGACTGAGATTCCATGATTCCATGTGTTCTATGAGATTTCAATGGATTCCCAAACGAATAAGCGTTGATTCAGTTGATTCATTGGTTTCTTGACTTTTCTTGTGTGTTTCTTTCCAAGGCTTGACCCCTGCAAGTTGCAAAGGTGTCCACATTTGCAAGCAACGGCTCCGGAACTTGTCTGACGTGCAGAAGGGCAATGATGAGTGGCAACCATTCCTGAGCATGTCCAAGCGAATAAGCCATCATGCTGGTGTACTGCATGAAATGGAGGGCATTTTGATGTCAGTTCATACTGCTGAAAACAAGAGATGCTCGTCGCCCAGTGACTTTGTGGAAATCGCTGGGAGATGGAAGCCATGTTTTGATTCGCCTAGTCCCGGGAATATACGCATTGAATTGAATTGCTATTGCCGGAGAGCTATAGTGAGCACTTGGGTTGAGCCTGACTGAGCTATGCTTATGGTATGCATTATGGACTTAACATGACTTAACATGATTTAACCTTGCCTTGCCCAAAACTGCCTTGAGGATCGGAGAGTCAAGTATCTGATGCTGCTGCCATCCTTCATGGCTGTGACTCCATGCTGCAACTCCTCAGTGATTTGGAGCAGCTCTGCTGAACACTTGGCCCATCTTGGCGACCCACTGAATTTCCTTCCACAGTGAAAGTATCATCAAGTCAGACAGTGACATCACATGTAATTCCATTACTATGCATTACTATGCAATATGCATATACATTACTAGTGCAGGCTGCGTTCAGAGACAGTGCAAGTAACATAAAATTTGTGAAGTGGGTCGTTCAGTTTGAACTGCTCACTCCCTGCATCCACAGCTATCCATAGGAAACAATCGCCTTTCGGAGTGCGTTTGCGCTTCTGCAAGTTGCGGGCTTACTTGTATCCGGTTCCTGCGCGGCTCGGAATTGATATTGCCAGACGTATCCGGAGAGGCAGTGTTTGGGGCTTGGGGGATGCAATCCATGAGTTATAGGATGTTCTAGGATGTTCTAGGGCATTGCCTTATTCGGCCAATGTCAGGTGTAGATTGTTCGACAAGTTTTTATATGATGCTCTCGCCTGGCTCGTGCAGATTGCAGTCCCAATCAGTCGGTTCCAAAGTATGTTTGTACGTTTGCCTTTGCACCGAGGAATGGTGAGCGAGACGAGCTCACACCAGAAAACGGACCTCAAGAATGGGCCAAGAAGGCCTTGGAGGTTGCTGATGGGCTGCTCAGCTGAGTGCAGGCTGTCACAGTGTCTGACAGAGGGTTGAAAGAAGTTCACTTTGAGCCGACGTTCAGATAGAGTATGCACAGCAAGGATGCATAATCAGGTATGATGCAATGATGTGATTGTTCGGCCCTTTTCGGGATCAATTCTCAAAACTGAGGCTGTTGGATGAAGACCCGCGTTGGCCAGATTCTCACCATTGGAGGGCGCGCAGCTTGGTTCGCCTGCAGCAACGTCAAGAGGCACGGAAAGCCTTGAAGATGGCACAGCTTTGCGCGGAGGAGCGCGTAGCCGCATTGTGTGTCAAACCGTTGCTCAATAATAAGCATTTCTTCTACTTCACTACATATATAACTCTTGGAGCATACAGCATACATAAGTGCATGGTCACCGTGCTGCTCGAAGCCTTTGTTGCATTTTGTTGGTATTCGATGATTTGATCAATGCTTCTACATGTCCCAGCAAGGAGAAAGGCGGAACGCATAATCTGACAGAGGAACTCTTGGATGGCATGCGGGCCATTGATCAGCAGAAGGAGTCGCTTGTTTGACAACCTACTGACATCGCTCAAGTGCTGCAGTTCATGAAGCATGTCATTTTAGTATGTTCGAAGCCTTGCTGAGAGTGCGATCTGCTTCGAAACAAACACGGGTTGGAAGTCGTGTGCTATTGAAGGTTCTCATGATCCGCACTAATGGTACTGTAACTAATGATCTAATGAACTTTTTGGTTGCCCATTGCCCATGTTACACATGCGTGATCAGATTCAAGCTTGTCCAATGTTTCTGACGTCAATTCCAGCTTTGGAGGCTCCAAAACCAGAAAGTGTTTCTTTATCCCAAGGAGAGGCAACAACGCCTACAGAGCTCAACAGTGGAGCATGGCGAAGGAGTGCTATGACCTGGCGATTGCGGCGGATTCTTTGCGAATGGATGTGGAGCACCTTGAAAGCCAAGAGCCCGTTTCATTATATAATGTTAGCATCCCTGCAAGGTATGATCTTGGCGAATGCATTCGCTATCCTTCGGGTCGAGCTGACTTTGGGATGTGGTTGTGTACTTTGTGCTTGTGAAGATATCAGACAGAAGCGGAGAAAATGGTGAATCTGGGTTTTTCCAACAGTTAAACCACGAGCAAATTTGCATCAGCCTTGTGCCCAGCCTTGAGTCTCTTTTTTGTCACCAGCGTCCCTTTCAGACCGATCAATTGACATCAACTGACTACGTCCTTTTCCAATTTGAGGCTCAGTGCCCAGCTGTACTGCAATAGAGCTGCAGTTCAGGCGAGGCTTCACAAGCGGGATGCGGCGCTGCAGGAAACTTGGACCACGATGAAGGTTGCAGGGAAGGGAAGCAAGAAGATCCAAGAAGATCCAAGGTTTGTGTGCTGAAATTTGATGAAATTTGCTGAATTTATATAAACTTATCCTCAAGTTTGCACATGATCCGATTTTGAGCCGCCGTGCTCTCACAGGATGCCACTATGGCTTTGCGCCTGTGTCCATCCTACGGGAAAGCACGCTTTCGACGTGGCATCCTCTACATGGAACTAGCAACCTGACTTTGACTCTCAGAGCCCCATCTCCTTTCATTGGGGAATGCACTGTGCACAGAGGACTTGGTTTTCATATATGTGTTAATGATTTTTGCGGGCGTTTGCGTCATCGATGCATTTTGAAGCTCGAGGAATCCACGGTCTTGTTTGATGCTTTGCTTGTGTGCGGTGCATCGCCCCAGCCATCCCAGCAAATGGAAAGCCAAATTCAAATTCTTGTGTTGAATGTTGATCTAAGGAGCGCTATGCTGAAGCAGCGCGAGACTTTGAAATCCTGTTTCGAGAAACGCCAGGGTTTGACGGTTTGGCCGCTTGGCGGGCAAGGGCGACACGCTGGGCTGTTCGGCCTCCTACGCGGAACTTCTATGCCATTCTGGGCATTGACTTTGGGGCTTCTGCTGCAGACATCAAAAAGGCGTACCGGAAGATGGCCCTGAAATGGCACCCAGACAAGATTCACGGCAGCATACGGCAGCATACGGCAGCATGTTGAGCACCACTTTTGGTGTTGAGTTTTGCAGGTCACTTTCCCGAATTTAGGAGTGAAATGGAATGAAAATGCCACGCAAAGCGCTGTTCAGAGGGCCTTGTTATGCACCTGGCCAAAGTGCAGGAACGTCGATCGTGCCGAAGAAGCAGCTCAAAAGTTCAAGGAGGTTCAAGAGGCATTTGAAGTTTTGTCAGATCCAGCACGTCGTCAAGAGCTTGATGGGTTTGAGGAGAGGGTTTGCAACGTTTGCCTTATTTTCAGTTGATTGTTTCACCCTGATCACTCTTGGACAATCTTGAGTATTCCTGATATAGATTCGATGTAATGAAGCTGGAATTTGTTGACACCCTGTCCAAGGCCAGGGGATACAACTACAATGGCTCCACCTTCCATCCTGGATGGTGATGAAAACCGATGAAAACCGATGAAAACCGATGACTGGCAAATCTTGAGTCCCAGCCTTGTGTCCCTTCCATCATCTCCAAATCTCCCATGCTCTGGGCCCTTTGCGATTTCCTTCGAGAACCAGGCAGACCTCTGTTGCCTTGCAACAGCATTGCCGTACGACACCCATCCCTGTGCAAGTGGCCGAAGTTGTGCGAAAAGTGCCTCACTGCCAAAAGAGACAGCAGCCAAGATTTGGCAGTTCCTGGCCGGGTAGATGAGCAAGATGAGCGACGATGAGTCGTTGACCAGTTCCTCTCAAAAAAGTGGGCGCATCGTGGATCATCATGGTATACCTATTCAAACATTCGGCCAGCCGCACTTTGGTCATTCATGATGCTCATGAAAACTGCTGCCAGCTTGCTTCATGCACTTGGGAGGTTTCAACCTGGACATGGAGCAACTGATTGAACGCAATACCATGCATATACCATGCATATACCAATTTTAAGTGATTTCTCTCATTGAATTTCAAAGGGAGAATCGATAGACCAAGCTGAGAGCTCAGGTCATGTGTGGAGGTTTGGCCTCCATTGCAGTCCTGGGTTCGTTTGTGGACGCTGCACCTCAGCGTAACGAAGACGTTATTCCACATTGATACACCGTTGTTCCTGTATTGGGTGTGCGGGCTTGCAACAGCAGGATGTCGAAACAGAAATTCTGAATTGCAAGTAGGTCAAGTCGGTTTCAGACGATTTTGGTGCGTTTCCCTTGGCTTCCTGACGTGCTCTTTTCGGGTCCACAGACTATGCCAAGGCACTACTCCTTTGGTGCATCACACAGTTCAGAATCTTGACAGGCACTACAGCTTTGTGATTCGATGCTTTTCTGGTGTATGTTGCCCAGGTGGGGATACCAGATGCTGGAAATATATGGAAATATGTGATTATGTTTTTGCAGCAAAAAATTGGGTACCAAGCCTTTTGCAAATCAGTTGGTTCGGTCTGGTGGCACTTTGCGGGCTGACAAAGTCACGTACGATACAAGACCGTCAGAGCGCCCAGGAAGAAAAGCAGTAGAGAGGTACAAAATACACGATGAATCAATGGATTTGGACAGGTGCAGGTGTGAACCTCTTGCTTTGAACTGCGGAATGGATCCTTGACTTGAACATTGTGAACTCAGGATTTCCACTTCTTTTGATTCTTCACATGGTATACTCAGTGGTATTTGCAAAGTTGGTGATGCCAATCGTCACCATCCATGCTCCTTGGAGAATGCAGTCAATTGATCTAAATTCTGGGGCTGGTGGATCAGACCTGTCACAGAGTAGGCTCGGCACCTGTGACGCTGGTGGTAAAATGAGATGGCTGACCTGGAATGACAGATTCGAAAAACAATACTGAAACACCATGACACGATATGACAGGCACAGGCAAATGGAGCTTTTGATCTCGGGTTTCCTGAATCAGGGGCTGTATGCGTCAACATGTTGCAAAGTGCACAGGTCAGTAAAATCAACGATCGATGTCCATGCCTGTCCCAGCAGGTTGGCTTCGTGTCAAGAAGTGAGCTGGCAAAGGACTACAAGAACGATGATGCTTTGCTGCAATACCACGTGTGAAAGGCACGCACTGGATGGAAACAGTATGAAACAGTGAGTCTGAGTCTGATATAGTCTGATGATATAAATAATGAGAGCTGGGGACTGTGAGCGTGCGCTTTTTAGACATTTCAAGATGCTGAGTATCTTCATCTAAGTGTCAGTTGACACATGCCTCTAAGCCAAAACCCTCATACTGACGAGATGTCCATGAAATGTATGACTAAAACAAATCATGTTAAAGATGGTTGAAGACAAAACAAAACTACAGTAGTTCTTCACATGCGCAAGCAACACAATACATAATTGGTGACATGAGATTACTGATTACAGAGATAAGTTTACGGTTCAGATCCTCACTTCTTCTGCTTCATGCACTTCTTCTTCATGGCCACTTGCTCAAAACACAATTTCTGCAGAATATGCGAAATGACTCAAAATAATTATAACATCCCCATACCTGCCAACAAATGCAGTATTCAAAACAAACATACCCTTCTGAATAAGAGTAATCTTCCTTTGGGGCAATGCCGTGTGTTTTTGCAGGGGCAATATCCAAACAAAATATGAAGTATTCATTGAACAGTTGCACCATGCCCTTTGAAGGAGTGCAGTGTGCATTTCCAGATGTCTAACCCTCCTTTCAAAGGAGCAGTACCCCTTTTAAAAAAGTCAATGTTTCATAATATTTCTGCATAATATATGCAGTATTATTGACATAGAGCATCTCTTTCAAAAGTGCAACATGTTTGAAACTGTGAGCACTATTAAAGAATGCTCTTTCGCTTCTTACCACTGAACAACTGATTTTTTTGTCAAAAAATATTCCTGTGAAGAAGCAGCATTCTTGGAAAACTGGATTACTTTTGTTTGACATGTGTACTCTTCCCCTTGGTCGATCAGCCCAGCCTGCATTTAGACAACTCTCACTTAAAGAACTGTTTTCAATACAATCCAACAATAATGTGTTCGTTCAATCAAATATCTCACTCATATCAAGGAGGTGTTGCACAAATTCAACAACAAATTCTTCAAGGTACTCTTTCAAAAGAGTGCTGCATGCACACAACTTACCATATGTTCAAACAATGTTTGATTGTCTTAAGATTTAAAGATGCACATTCTTCAAATTACAATATTTTTCAAGAGGAGAGCTGCCTACACCAAAGGGTGTTATTCCCAAAATATGGTTCGTTGTCTTGGAAGAATATCAAATTATGCATTCAGAAAAATGATGTGCAATTGTGAAGGACATATTTTACGCGCTGACATGTACCATGCGGTCTTCATTTAAGAAAATATATTGTGAAAAGGGCATTGCATGTGCAAGAGGGTTCATTTTTGACAGAAGTAGACTAAGACATGACCTACTTCAATGGGATGCTCTACCATTTTAAAAGAAATGCACGTGTTGAAGGGAACACTCACTTCAAAGAGATGCATTACTCTTTTTCAAGGGAATCCTTCAAAGTGTTTGAATATGTGTTAACTCAAGGGTTTGAGCCAACAATGTCAATATCAAAATCAATTCTACACATTCATTGGCTGCATTTGTTCAACACAGTTTTGAAAAATTATATAAACAGACAAAATTGCCTAATCTGTGTCCCAAGCCCCCCAAGCTTCCTCCAGTGATACCTGCATTTTGCCATGTTTTTTTACATGGTTTTCTAATGGAACCACAGGCCCAAAGCAACCAATAAAATCAACCAAAAGCAAGTTTGCAACCCCCAAAAGTGGGAGAACTGGCAAAGAGTGAGGTCTAGGTCCTTCACTTTTGTGTTGTTTTGCCAACCCTTCAAAAAAACAACAACGAACCAGAAAACCAAGAAACCAAAAAAACAAAGAAAACAAAAACTAACCCCAAGGAACCCAATCTTTGTTACTTTCATGAGTCTGTTTTGTTTTTTCCACCCTTTTCCTTTTCCCTTTGCAGCAGATTGGCATAGGCCAACAGACACGCAGCAGATAAAGAATTGTTTTTCTAGATAATTTGAGGAAAACTATTGCAAAATATTGCAAATTTGTGCACGCTGGTGGTGCCCTGTTCTGGAAATAATCCAGGGTAGGCCACTACGAGTTCAAGGTTTTGCCACCAAGAATTCAGGATTGTTCTTTAAAAAGGACGAACCTTGATGATTGCAAAGAAACTCGTGAGTGCGGCATGTGTTGGATTATGTGCCCATGCGCAGACCCTCAATCCCTCAGCCATTGACAGCACTTCCATCAATTTGATTATCTTTGATTGTAGTTGTATCATGTTGTATCCAGCGCTATTGAACCAACCAGATCCAACCAGCATGTCATAGCCGCAGGTCTTCTTTTGAGTGTTGTAATCATTCGGCTCAACCGTCTTAACCGAATAATTAATTCGATTAATAACTGATCCGGTTGGCCCCCAAAGACGCCCAAAGGCATTTGTTTGACTTAAGCAATGTCGCCGTCCAAGCTTCGTGAAAGCGCCTACTGAGGAGTTCTGGGTTCTTGTGGACAAAGATACTGGACAGCACCTTGTCACCATCGATTGAGGGTAAGGCTGCTATGCTGCCGTGATTTTCCTGTTCTGCCCACTTCAAACTGGCCCAAAAATGTTCTGCCCAGTGTTGTTTGTGTCATTAAATTGGTAATTCTATACCGATACAGATTGACAGCTTCACTCATGCTTTGCTGATGGATCAGTATCTGTTGATCCATGTCGATCCCTAATCAGCAGAGTTAATGTCAAAATCTGTCAACAGCCAGTTCGCAAGCATGCCTAGCCAGACCTGTTATTATTATTGGACAACTGGCCCATAGAATTTGATAGCGTACCATGTCAGCTGCTCCCAAAACATCCAAGGTCAACGTCGGTGAAAGAATTGGATGCGGATGACTACAATGAGGCTTTTGACAATGACCTCTTTACATACGAAAGTTTGCACCTCAAGGGTGGGGGCTTCCTGCATGGTGTGTTTATGGTTAATTAATGTTAATTATATATTTATGTTTGCTGTATTAGCCAATTCTCCAGCCAACGTGTTCTTTTCTCGGTGTGTGCCATGGAGTGCTGTGGTAAAGGTCAGTATAAGATAGTATCCCCCGCGCCGACGTCCACGACGTGTCCGAACATAAAAAAAAACACAGTGTTTTGTGATCGTGGGACAAAATGCAAATGTCCATGATCATGGCTTTCATCTTCAACGCACAGCTTGGCAAAATGTGCGTTGAATGTTACAACATTATCAAAATTATATCATATCTTGTCATCATCATCATCATCATCATCATCATCAACAACCTCATTAACCCTAAAGCATAACCCCTAAACTCCTTGAAAATTCCCTTGCATATAAAGTTGAACTGGGGTGGGATTTGATGATTCCCTAGAAACTCTTTTAAACCATCTTTCAGATTCCCTTGAGTCAATATCCTTTGCAACCCCTCAAAAGTTGTGTGGGCGAACCGGGCTTTTTGAGCGTATAAGTACTGTATCGATCGAGTTGGCAACCTGGTTGCCCTTGACGATCCCGGGTCCGTAGTTTGTACCAGTTTGATGGAAATTCTGTGGCAAACTGAGATCACAGTTGCTACACTGAGGCGCCCGAAATCCATACGATAAGGGTTGGCACCGAAACTTGGATGCAAACTCGGGATTTGGTGCAGCAGGACAAACTTATACAAACTTCGATGATCAATGACCATATTGTGAAATGCATGGTTGATGTATGTTGATGTTTTTGCTGGCCTTGCATTGCTTACAGTAACTTGCGACAGCAACCTGTAGCAGCCCTGAGCCCTGCGATGGCCGGACTGAGGCAATTGTTTGAGTTTCTGGTTGACCACCAGGTGGTCACCTGATCAGCTGGGGGAATTCTGAGGCGCAAGGCCAGGTATCAGGGTGCTCAGTTGCTTGAGCATCTTGAGCATCTTGAGCTTAGATATCATAGATGAGCCCAACTTCATCTTCCATGTTCATTCATTATCCATTTGGATCCATTTGGTATATCGGGTGCATCTTATTTGTTGCGATGCTGTCATACTTTTTATATTTTCTAATCTTAAGCACTGTGCAACGAGGAGACTGCACAGGCTTGACAGAAAAGCCACAATGTCCTTGGAAGTCAGTGCCAGCGCAGATGTTGGCCCAGCCTTGGATCTGGGTTGGCAGAGCTTCAAATCCGAAGCCGGCAGGAGATGATACAGATGTATCATCCAAATTGGCAACCATGGCCATGCAATGCCATGCGTTCTGCAGGCATGAAGCTGGCATTTATTTCTCATTGTGTTGATATTGTTGGGTACGGTAGTTGCGTGAGCCCGAGGAAGTTCTGCAAACCCAGAGTGCGCCATTGATAACGATTGGCCTATTAACTACAGAGACCTTCAAGGTCGTGGTTCAGTCCAATAGGGTCAAAAAGGAGCTGCGTTTGCCACACATTACCAGGCTATGTAATCAATGTAAAGACACCGCGCCCAGCACTCCCCCAATATTTAGTGTCATACTGTAACCATTTTGTAAAAGTTTTACTTGTTCCAAATTATCAGGCCTTTGTGCGGAGAAAAATGTCGAGATGCCCCTTTTGTCGCTCAAATAGCTTTGGCATGGGCTACAATTAGACTGTATATCTATCTGAATTGAACGATTTGAACGTTTGAATACGCTTGAGCTGTATGTCCACTGAACGGGTCGCCGACACTGCCGTGCCTCCACAGATGTTATGTGTGCCGTTGGATCTCCATTGCTATGTCTTCCAAATGGCTCAAAAGGAAAGGCGCAGAGGCGTCGGTAAGCCAATGATGCCAATGACTAGACTCATGTTTCCCAAAGTGAAGCCAGTGAGATGTGAGGGACCACAGGAATTGAATATCATCCTCCGGGGCCATGCAATTCTCACGTCAGAACAGAAGGATCCATGATCTCTCTAGAAAAGTTCTGCTCGAATTTAGCTTGCATGAATGTCCAATGCCCTCACATTTAATAAATTTCTTAATGGGCCAATGCTGCGTGCACATCTTTTTCGGCTTTTCATCATGTGACATATGACTGACCAGTTTTGCTCCTGGCTAAGGAGCCGAAGCTTCTTTGCAGTTCGACAGTTGTGTCTTTTTGAGATCGTTTTTCATTCTTCCTTCAGCGGAAGACTGCATCAAGTGACATCTTTGGTTTCAGTATGTTTCAGTGTTCAAAAGCGCCCAGTCCCATCCAGTCCTTTTTCTCCCCGAGAATGCAGGAGTTCAAACCATGATTTCTACGGTGGGAATGCTTAGCACCGCTCAGCAGAATAAGCGATTTCGACGGTCTTCCAATGCAGTTGCTTGAAGAATCTTCACGTCTTGTCACCTTTGGTATGGTGTCAGTTTCGTCAATTATTGGATTATATAATATTGAATATTGTATAAATTTATATAAATGTTATTAACCTTATCATCCATTTTATTCCAGGCCTTTGCAGTTTGAATGGATATGTACTTTATGTGCCTCAATCACTGGGATTGGATATGCAACGCAAAATAAGATAGCATAAGTAGCACAGAAGTTATAGATCAACTAAGTTTGGGTAAATTCGAGATGGACAAGCAACACAGATTTGCTTGAATGTTTATTTTTTTTTGCGTGATGGGTACTGCGGGAGAGGCTGTGAGAGTTCTTTATGTGCGTCATTTTGCGACCATTCAGTCCCAAAAAACATCAAACAACTGCATTTGAGATAGCGGCCATTGCGTTGCATTGCAAACCACAGACTGATGGCTGACATTGTGCCATCGGTCAGACATTCCTGGAACAATTTTTCCCGGCATGTTCTTTTTTGCATTTGATTTGCGACAATTCTGTTAAAGCATTGTTTGCTCCCAAGGTCACTGATCCAGCATTGGCTGCCATCTTGCAGCGTCGACGCTTGTTGAGCGAGCCGCAAGTAGAGGTGACCGGAGCCACACCAGCGGCCCCAGCTTATTTAAGATTCCTTTTGCGGTGCCCCTTTGGGAGGCCAGCTGGAGCAATAGCAATGATAGGAGCTTACGAGATGGAGCTTGGGCCTCAGGTTGTGAATGTAGATCAGCATGCCCCAAGCTGCAGAATAGGTGTAATATATATATATATATATAATTTATATACATATAGTGCTGGGTTTATGATCAAAATCGGACAAAAATTGCATGAATGCCAAAGGGTCTCGGCCGGACCTGTTGCACACCACATTTATGATGGATCTCAGATCTTGAGACAATCACTATCAGCAATTTTTGCATGCACAATCGAACATGGCAGACTTGCTGCAACAGTCCGATTTCGAAGCTCCTCAGCCAGATTTTGAAATCAGGCCACTATGGTTCCGAGCATTTCGCCAACGGTACGTCCGGGCTTTGTCCAAGATGCCCTAGCTGCGATCCAGGCGCCGGATTAAGAGCTTTGAAGCGGGCTGCGTTGGACATGTCGTGGCAAATCATGATCCACAGGAGCGGCTCACATTCGAGCCAAAGTCACAGCCGAATGTGCAACTTGGAAAGGATTAGCTGCTCAGCTATAGATTATTATAGACTATTATGGATAGTTATAGGCTATAGTGACTCACAACTTATAATTTATAACGTTATATATTTGACTCATTATACTCATTTGGCGTTACTTTGTCATGATTACTTGGCTTGTCTACGTTTGCCTTGGGTGGTGAGGCACATTTGAGTTTAATTGAGACACGCAAAGGGGATTGTGGCTAGGGATTCAAGGCCACAAGCACGGCATAGTACAACAATTTAAAGGACGAAATGAGAATGTTGTACATCATAATAATACTGTCCTTTTTAAAAATTCTTGTTCGAAGAAATCTGCCAGAATTCAACTCCCAAGGGCCCAAGGGTATTGAAAGGTGCTATGTCCGACATCTAACACCACGCATTGGACTCCCCTTAGCTGAGGCAATGCTTCGACATGGCCACGGATTCAGAGTCAGAGGACAGTAGTGATGATGAGACGTGTGTCTCGGCTGAATCTACTATACCAGGTTTCCTACTGTAACAATTTGAAGACAGTGCCGGGTCATTGGAGGTCCAAAGATAGCAAGCCACAACAAATAATGACAAGCAAGTCCTGAGAAGGAGGGTGGTTTGTGGAATTTGTGTTCCATCTAATCCATGAACACTGACGCGCAGCAAAAAGGAGTTTGGGTAGAAAAAAAAAATAAATCCATTGCAGAATGGGACTGCCAGCCATGATCTAGTCAAAGATGAAATTGTTGATTTGTACTCAACCAGTTTCAGTTTGGCACAGCAGTCAGGGCGCCCAGGCCCCTTTTCCATCCTTTTCCAGGGATCCCTCAAGAATGATCCGCCTCAATTCATGCGGCAGTTCTTTTTTGCATTCCCAGCCGGAGTGGGACACTCCTTCTGACTCCTCCTGCACATCTTACATCATCTTACAATCTTACATCATTTTACCATTTCATCTTGGCTTAGGCCATGCAGACCGCTTAAACGCACAAAGCTCGGAGTCAACTGGGGATGAGGCCAGGGGATTGGAGTGTGGAGAATGTGATGAAGCCTCACCACTTCGACTGGCGACTTCAGATACTTTTCAAAATACTTCAGAATAATAAATTAAGTAAATATAACAAATGCGTATATATATATAATATTATATTATAGTGTAATGTTCAGTTTTTTACAGCTATGAGTGCCATTGTCAGACATGTTTGCTCGCCTAGCCGCCTAACATTGCGAAACTTGCCAGCGGTTGGCGACTCGGAGCCAGGAGCTGGGCTCTCTTTCTGAGGGCCGGTCGCAGCCTTGGTAGTTCCTCACAGCCTGCAATGGCAGGTGGTTGACCAGGTCGTTTGATTCTTCAACATTGTAAACTCATGTAAACTCAGTATGTTGATGGAAAATGAATGAAAATGATGGAAAAAAACAAATATCACCAGATCATGCCAGATCGATTGTAGAAAAAATATGAAGATGATTGAAGATGTAAATGTTGTTACAGTTGTTGTATAAAGTTGTTACATCGATCATAGAACATAGATTAACAATGATGATTAACATAAAACGTAGATGAATATGTTTGCATCGGTGTGCATTCTCCGCATTCCCAGGCCCACGTGCTGCACCCAGGTCACTTGGAAAGACTTAACCGATGACACTGTTTTTGCATTGAAACAGTTGCCTGCCGCATGCCTTTGCATCCTGAGTTCTTTGCACCTTTCTGTGACGCCTGTTTTAGGGTTGACATGCTTGCATCATCTTGCATCCATGCCTGCATCAATTTAGGCAATTGAAGCAATCGAGCTTTGTGCTTCCCAGCTATTGAGCCTTGTCTCAGGTGCTAGTGGTTGAACTGCTGTCATGCACGATTTCATTTCATTTGTTGCAGATGCAATAAATCTTTTGTTTGAATCTGTTTGACTGATTACTCTTATTCACGCTCAATTATTTACCACATACACTCAGCAATCCACCAGCATGAAGCATACATATTTTTCATATTTCGGTTGCCAGCGGTTTGCTTTCCGCGCCACTTCTCGGGCGCCAGTCCCTTCTCTTTTTCGCCAAGGAAAGTAACACGCGAAAGCACAGTTGGTGAACTCCGCGCTGCTGTGAATGATCAGCAGCTTGACAGGGTCAGCTATGGTGGTTTGGGTCGTTGGTCGGATGGATTTGGATGGATTTGGATGGATTTGGATGGATAAGTAACGGCATTTGAACGAAGATTGACAGTTTAGGGATGTTAAGGGTGTGTGTGTGTGCACGGTTGACGCTTGTAAGCTGAGCTGATTGAAAATCCATCACTCAAGTCCACTCTGTCTGAGGATATCTTTCAATCCGGTGATCCTGACACGTGCAAGTGAAATTGGAGTGGACCAGCCTGCCTTTCTTCAACTGAATGATGCCAGCCCTGCAGTGCAGTTGAGATATGTTGTTGAGATGAGATGTGTTGTTGTTGTTTTTTATGGTTTGTTTATGTTTGTTTCGTTTCCCTGCTTTCAACTTGGCTTTATCCATGATGTTTTCTCAAGCTTAAAACTAAAATGTTTGTTGATGTTTGTTGCTGTTTAGATTTCTTCAGTTGGAATGAACAGGATTCAGGATACGGTACACGATTCACTTCAGTTCGCAACCAAGCGTAATGTTGCTCAGCCAAAAGCGCATGGAATCAAGGACAAAGACGTGATTGCGACAGTGGTCGGAAATGTCGAGGACGTCGCAACCACATGCATCTAACATCATTTAACTGCTATGAGGTTGTGTAATCTTGGACCGGTGGAGTGAGGCACTCGCAGCATGCCTGTCCACTTATATAAAAACATGCAACCGCAACTCCTCTATCATTATCCATCATTATCCCAATTCCCGACAACCTGATCCTAGCATTCTCCAACTCACTTTTGCATGGTTGCAGGATCTTGTGTTGCGTAACGTGCTCGTCTTGGACCACGACGGCCAAAGCTTGTCGACCCCACCGCGAAGCAGGCGCAACCAGTGTCCTTGATCGATGCAGCACACACTTCCAGATTGTACTATATATATATAATATCAGATATGATATGTAACTGTTAGAACATAAGATAATATAAGTGGAGAAGCGCAAGAAGATGCCACCACGAAGAACAGGCACAGTATGTTAATTAATGTCCATTTAATGTCCTAATGTATGTTTTTTCCTTAATATATATATATAGATATAGAGAGCTTTCCTTTTTTTTCCGTGTTACTTTCACTTGCCTTCCACGCTTTCATATGTTTTTTCTCGAGGAAGTCCCCTGAGTGCAGGTTGCAGATCCTCGAGGAGGAAAACGCTGACTTGAAAACTCAGCTACGACGTTTGGAGGAACGTGCCTTGGCAAAGGCACCCAAGATATGCCAACCACATATTTATATCGAATGCGTTCAGTTATGTTTTATCATTTTATCTTTTTAATATTCCTTATCCGTATATATTATATATATGCTATATTCAAAATTAAAGTAAAGGTTATGGCCTACATATTACATATATATATGTGCAGAAATTCAAATGGTGTGAATGTGTGTCTGTGTGTGTTTTGGAATGTGTTTGTCTTGTCTTTATCAATGTTTGCAACCGCTCCGATATTTTTGGAAACCCACGTTGTCGAGTCGCCGAGGCCTAGCCGCAGCGGAGCAGAACACCAATGATGACAGGATTGAGGTGGAGAGCAACCAGCGGCATTTCCTCCATGGCCGCACCCCTGTCAATAGCTTGGTAATAACACATCTAGAAATGTTGCGGCCGGCACTTCTTGCCTATCTCATTTGCGTTTTTTCCACCGCTTGCACCCCTTCAGGAGACGACCCCGATTTTACAGCCAAAGAATGAAAATGGCAGGGAAGACAAACTTGTCTCCCCCAGAGACAGCACCCTTGGCTGATCAATTCCATAAGTTTTTCTTTGGTATTTGTCTTCTTGTTGGATGCCAAGACGGTCCTGCTAGATCCTGCAGAATTGTATAGATTTGTTCGTTTGCGCCGTTTGCGCCATGCCTTTGCCAAAATGCTCAGGTCACTTGGAACACGCAGAACAGGGCCAAACCACAATGGGAGAACTGGCAGAACTGGCAGAATCTTTGGATGTCGATTCCACTGGGGAAGATGTGGCAGCGCAAAGTCTCGCGGAGAGGCCACTGGAAGCCCAACTCGAAGATGCCAAGGAAGTGCCGCAGCCAAAGATGCTACAAGAGGACCTGGCAGGGCTGGGTGGACACCAGCAGAAGAATCAGACAGCGGATGACATTAGAATGCGACGTCCTTGATGATGTCTAGCATTGAGTAATATTGGGCATATGTCACATAAATATACATAAATGCATAATAGATCATAATAGTATATATTCTATACACACATATATATATACAATTAAACATTTATGTATTAGTATGTTTTTTGTTTGTGGAAGCGGCTGACCCAGGAGCCTCCACCTGAGATTCCGTTGGATCATGCAGCCGAGTCTGTTGCTTGGCCTAAAAAGTCATAAGCAGTGATTTTGATGGTCGCTACATGCCAAATATGTCAAGGACAGTTGCAGTCAGCATGAAAGATGTGATACGCGCACATGATATGATTGATATGTTTGTTGATTACATAAGATTACCAATGACGCCGTACTTGGAGATTATTGTGTGGACATATTTCAATGGAGATTCGCAGAGGAAGGCCATGTATCGGCCTCGTGACACTGAAGATGCCTGTGTCCACAACTTTGCCAAAGGTTAAAGATTTGCACCAGCCGACCACAATGCCTCAACCGACTCCTTTGGTGGAAGAGTTTCATGTTTGCATGGAACGCACAGGGCGGAATCCCGACTGGAGCCGGTCTCGTCATGTCTTGCTGCTTGAGGGATGCAAAAAAATGATGCAAAAGAGATCTCGTTCATTCTCTTTCAATGACTTCAAAGTTGTATGCATGCTTCCAGTTATTCTCAAATGCTTTTTGTCAGGGTGGAAACGCTTACTGTAACTTCAGTGCAGTAAGTGCATTGAAAAGAACTGTAGAAATTAATAGCCAATCGCGCTCGTCTTCTGTAGTGGTGACTGCAGCTACTTCTGAGGGCGCTTCCTGCAAAGCGCAAAGGCTTGCTGCGGCACATCACGTCCTGCATTCACAGACCTACTGTAGATTGCAAGTTTGGCCAGTGTTCATGTGTAGGTAGTTTGCGCTGAAAGCTTCTGGAATCATCTAAATATGCTATTCATGATATTTCATGACATTTCATGACATTTCATGACTTTCTGACTCCTGTTGAATCTGAACATGTTGTTCATCATGTTTGACACTTGTTCAAAAGCCACGTTCAGCCATTGTACAACATTTTGATTGTTTTGTTCTTGAGACTTGGTCAGGCACTCCATTGTGTGTCTCGCTTCTGTCAATGCAGTGGGGGCCCAAGACGGGCCATGGGGCGAAATCATGTGGAATCACGAATTTGGCTGAGGTCTCCAGACCAGCCAGCGATGAAGCTTGACATGTGCCTTGGTTACGGCGGTGCCAAGTAGGTCTGATATGTGAAACATATGTCGGTGCTGATGGGCCACTCAAAATTCATACATGTTCCCAGGAGATTGCACATCGTTGCATCATATTGAGCAGTTGAAGATGCTGATCCTTTCCTTTCTCCTGTAATATATATATATATATTAATATATATTAATTATATATATATTATATATATATATTATATATATTGAATATTAAATATTAAATATTAAATATTATATATTATATATTATATATTATAATATATTATATATTGTATATTGTATATTATATATTATATATTATATATTGTATATTGTATATTATATATTATATATTATATATTTTATATTATATTATATATTGTATATTATATTAATTATATATATATTATATATTTTATATTTTATATTATATATTATATATTATATATTATATATTATATATTATATATTATATATTATATATTATATATTAAATATTATATATTATATATAATATATAATATATAATTATATATTATATATTATATATTATATATCATATATAATTATATATTATATATTTTATATTATATATTATATATCATATATATATATTATATATATCATATATATGTGTGTGTCATTTGCAGATTTATATTTTTTCCTGAATGTTCTTGATATGATGCCATCAGGGTGAGATGAGTTTGACAATTACCTCATAGCTCAGGACCACCAAGTCTACGATTGCAGAGCTCCGAGCACAGGTAATGCACGCCTTCGAAATGGATGTTCCTTACCTGAATCATCCTGAATCAAAGATCATCGAATCATCAAAGATCCGTTTTGGTTTTCTAATTTGTGCATGTTTGGAAGTGGTTAGGATTCTGCGAAATCGTCAAAGGCTGATTTGCCGGCCTTGGCGCCCAACAAGTAGCTTCGCTTGCGTAATTGCTAAAGGTTGGTGATGTGGATTTCCTACTGCCAAAACAAATGACAGAAGATAGTGTCAATGGCCATTTCAGGAACCTAAATTGGAGGTACCTACCATGTATAAGGCATTATAAGATATTATAAGGCCTATGTAAGGGAATATCCCCACAAAATATCACAAAATATGGACTTATATGTTGCAGTACCTCCATTTTATGATCCTGAAATTCCCATTGTATTGCCATTAAAATCTTTGTCAAGGGTAATGACGCTGCACTCACATATATAGCAAATTGCCCACAGAGCCACAGAACCCTCATGACACTTCAGGAACGCACGGCCAAACGCTTGCGTTTCTTGCGAAAGAGAGGCACTTGCTATGTATCTTTCAAGGAGGCTCTGGGATGAAATCCTTTCGTTTGTGAGGAATCTCACGCAATTTAGAGTGTGTTCATGATTGTTGCCAACTAATTGATCGAAATCTGTTTTTTCAACTTGATCCACTCATCTCCACTCTTTGGATTTCTGTGTCGTTTGATCAGGCTGAATGTGTCCGGGAGAAAATCTTCCTACATGACCCGGACATCCGCGCACTGCAGCTTAGCAGAATGGTTGGTGTTCATTTTTGGGTCGTATTCTTCTCCTATTCATGTATGAGTAACATTCCGTTGCTAGGCATGAACTAGTCTGAAAAAGGGACCTACATTGAACCTGAAGGTGTTGTTTTTTGTGTTTTGCTGAACAAAGTCTTTGGATTTCCTTTATTTTTTTTTGGAGGGGAAGGACATTTTTACTACGAGCCTTTCTTTCAAGGTCTGGCTTGAAGTTGCGCAGCTTCTCTGGTGTCACTGCCTCAGGATATCTCAGGATTGTTTGATCGGCGCAAGTCCTTTCGCTTGGAAAGTCCTTCCTTTTGCTTTCCTCCCTGATTTTGAATATGATTATATAATGATATTATATATGATTTTAATGCCAGTGTTTGTCATTGTTGATCCCAGCAAAACAAGGTTCAATTTCTTCGCATCTATGTTTGTATTTCTCTGTCACTGCTCTCCATCACTCCAGCTGCTTGTGGCTCCCCCTGGCCTGGCAACCGCAGATGGGGTCGGTGAAAGGGCCAGGCGTCACATCCGAGGTTGGCGGTAGCAGACCGACGGTGGAGGAGACCAGCGGCTTGCAGCACAGCTTGCCAGCAGGTGAGGAACAGAAGTAAGCGAGACATATTTATGACATAGTGTTTCTCTGTTTGCACGTTGATACATATGAGCGCTACATAATTACACAATGCTATGTATAGTATTGTATGATTGTATTTATTGTATTATATAAAATTCAAACATATACATGTATACATTATTCCACATGCAACATATACATGCATACATTATTCCACATGCAACATATACATGTATACATTCTTCCACACTATGATGCATTATGACAAAAAATATCATATAAGTTCTGGAAAACAGGTGTCGACGACTTCATGCAAGAATTCATTTTGCACACTTTTGCTCGGATTCTTGGCCGCAATGTACCCATGGAGTGTTGAGAGTCAAACACAAGGAGGCACCACTCACGGAGTAACTTGAGAGGAAATTTAAATTAATTACTAGTCAAATGTTGATTTATGCTTCCTCCTGCAACAGTAACATGGCCTAAGCATGTTGCTATCCGAAAAAGGAAAAGTGCAATGAGAAGCTTGGGAATGCCCTACTTGCATTATAACTATAGTTATCAATCCCAAGGATGAATGAGGAGGAGCGCAATTCGTGGAATGCGCTTCCCAAATTCGTGATTTGGACTATGTGGACTCTTGGCGCACAAAACAATGGAACCGTACTGCAGCAAGTGGCGATGTCCGTTCCAGCCATTTCCTTTTTAAACTGTTCAACTAACCGTAACTAAGCTTTTCGTTCCTTTCGGCAGTCCCTTAATGTCCCTTAGGTTTACAGATCTGCTGTGGATCAGTGATTATTGATCCATATTGGAGTCCTATGGCTTCCAGCGGCTTCCAGCTCTAGCCTTTCGCCCAGGTTCGACATCCTCTCGAGCCCTTTCTTCAGGAAGTGCATGGAAGGAAAGTTTCGCGAAGCCACTTTTGGTCCCAACTTTGACAGGTTTCTCGGATCTTCTCAGGTTCAAAGAGAGCAATATAGTGCAATAAATATGCATCATAAATAATATAAATAATCATAATAATGATAATAATAGTAATATATAACAATATGATTAGTAAAAGATGTAGAAGTATAGACAGTGGCAGATCAGATCATCATATGGAATATTTTCAGTACCAGGTTGTATCCTTGATGTTACTTGTGCTTGTGTTTCTTCTTAATTACACGCTTGTACAAAAGCAACAGAGAGGGACGTTGAGCTTTGTAGTGACCTTAGGAAAGCCTCGATGCGGCTTGCAAAGGATGACCCGGTTCTCAAAGAAGCTTGGCAATTCCCTGAGTCTAGATTCTATAGACATAGACATAGATATTGAATCATGAATGTTCCGAGTCAACCAGTCTTGGAGTGACTGTGACAGATTGGGATTTCCTCAGTCTTTCTTAATGTTCAATTAATGTTATTGTTGAAGGGGTGCTGGAATCGCAACAAATCTGCGTGATTCTTATAGGACCCCGACCACTACTGATTGTATCAGCTACCTCCAACGATTCCTGCAACTTGCCATGATTCTGTCTGCTCAATTGCACATGGCTCATTTTGACTGCCGGACACTGTGAGTCCGCTTTTCAGGAATATGCTTTCCACAAGCGTCAGCTCATTTCAGTGTGGTTTGAAGAAGAAGAGATCAAGGTGGCTTGCAGAGCACATGTGTATCATGATTTATGCAGCCATTGAGGCAGAGGAGATATTGTATTGGTTGAATATGTTGAATGGAGTTCGAGATGTAGGGGATGTAGTCCATGGAATCCACAATCCTTGTTATTTTGGTATATGTTGGTCGCGTTTCCAGTGGCTATCAACAATGCAAGTCGTGGACAACCATGACTTCGTCAAGTCACAGGAGGCAGTGAAGCAAGCTCCAGAAGTTCTTCCAGAGGCCGTTCCTTGATTGCTAGGAATGGTGATGAATGATGTTGAAATAGTAATAAACCACACAACATAAATCACCGTAGACATCTAGACAGACAAAGAAATAATAGTCCGCTTCATCTCATAAACCCATCACAATTCATGTCCGCAGAACAGGCTGCCAAGAAAACATGACCATGTGAAGGCATGCTGCAAAACGCAAGACACTTGAAAGACAAAAGGATGTCAAGAATTCAAACCCGAGTGTCCCTTCTTGATTTGGCGTCCAGAAACTGCAAAGGATGATTCGTGCAAGTTACGGTTGTTAGTTTGTCAAATGAGTCAAATCCCTTGGTCATTCTGGTGTAGGATATGATGATTACGAGACATATGATCAGCAAATCCGCCGTTTCAAAGCGTAAGCAATCACATCCCAAGCCAAAGCCCAAATGATGTGACGGATGTGAATGTTTCGACCCAATGATCAATGTAAGGGTTGCAATTTGCCTCGAGTCTGATTTGAGACAATATTCCCAAAACATTGGAGGCAAGAGCCAGAGAATAGTGTGTGTGTATATATTATATAACAACTAAATATATACATGTAGTATTATATACTTACATATATATACATGTGCACAATTCCAATTGCTATGCTGTTTGAAATTGTTCTTTGAATTTACGTTGTTTAAGATATTACGCATTTCAACTATTCTCCTTTCAATTCATGTGCAGTTGTGCGAGACGATGTGCCATGACTTTTTAGTTTGGTTTCCCGGTTTGCCCTGCGCAGGTCCCATGCAGGGTTGAAAAGGACCGAGCGGATTGTTGATGCGTCTAATGTGCTGTTGACAAACTGCAAAGTGATAGGGCATGATTGAATTGATAGGGTCAGTTTCCTCCAATTAGGTACAGGGATGGTATTTACATTATATTATTTACATTTATTTACGATGTACTTCTCGATATACGATTCAACATGATTCAACATGATTCAACATGATTCAACCGAAGAAGACAACTCCTGGGCGCAGGACCGAGCCTGCGACCACGGCCTTTTTGACTTCGATGATCTCGATGAGGCTGAGATGAGCACCATTCAATGAGCTCGTCCAGCAGCTCACCTCTGCATTTCAGCAATGTTTCGGACGTTTCTCTCCAAGCCCAAAGGGAGTTGTTGTGAAAAGCTGTGGCAATCCTTCCAGGGATCGCTATCATCACTAATCACTAATCATCACTAATCACTAAACATCTGGATTCAGGATCATTCGAATCATTCATTGAACAGAGCTTTGGGTTCTTGGATGTTTGGATCTTGGTGGCCTCACCGAGGTCTTAGTGCAAGCTCTGCAAGCCCGGCTTGCCATGGAGACAAAAACTGCCGCTATGGCTATGGAGTCGCCCAAACTGTGGTCGATTTTGTGTTTTTTCGGTACGCACTGCGAATCCTGTAGAGGCAACGTTTGGCAGGACATCACAGGCAATTTGGACCATTATAATATATATATATATATTATAATATACACATATAATATACATACTATATGAGTGTCGGCTTTTATTTGGTGAAGTGAATAGTAGTCCTGGGAGTACCCCGGTTTGCTGAAACACCATATTTAGGTTGCAAAATGAGGTAGGAACACCCCACGAACGAGGTAGGCATCGCATGTAAAGCGTGTAGCTATTAAAAGGAAGTGCTGCATTGGAGAGCGAGGTCAGGCCCCAAGAAACATGATGGGAATGGTGAACGAGGTAGCAACGTCGATATCGCGATAATACTTTGAAGAGGGTTGAACCACTGGACCTTTCAAGCTTTTCTGATGGGGTACTTTCCTACGTTGAAATTTGACTGTACACTTGTGACCTTGGATTCAGCAATTGATCCATTATCGGTCTGAAGGTCTACGTGCACTAAGGCCCACCATCAATTTATGATAATTTATGTTGTCAAATTGTGCACCCAATTATGATATTATTTGTACTAGTTTTGTAGATGCCTCCTTTACTATCGAACTCACTTCACCAAATTCACTCGAACAATGGTAACAATGGGCCTGGCATCCAACCACTGCAGCGATGTTTTGCCATGTTCTGCAACACGCTCGTCACAGAATTAAGCTCTGCTTGCATCCTCCAGCACTGCAAAAGCTCCTATATGATACGTGTACACCGCAAAAGTAAATAGCAACTGAAACATGTTTCCGTGGATAATAAATTAGTATATTTATTATGTGAATATTATGTAAATATTAACCAGCCGAAATTGAACACAAGAGATCACAAGAGCACAGAGCGCTTCCATGGAGCTTGTGGAGCCAGCAAGAGATGAAACACACAGGCAAGGAGTCGCGTTTCCGCGTTTCCGGACGATGTTCCAAGTGGATCCAAGTTGACTCTTACAGATCTTACAGTCTCCGCGATTCCGGTTTGAATTGTTCTACATTGCCACTCTCAGCCACTTGCATTTCTATGGCAGAAACCATATGTGCTGCACCATTCTTCTAATTGACATAATTGACGCCATTCCTTTTATAGCTATTTTTTGTGCTTCCCAGATTGAACGCTGAATCGGGGATTTGCTATGTACAGTCAAGAGTCAACGATGTACACATTCCTTGCGCTATTTGATCCGGTTTGGGCATGCCATCCTGCCATGTGTGTCCAGAGATCGTATTAGGATATGATCGCTTGAAGATCGCAATCAGGGGCTTGGAAGAAATGGATAAGTTGAGGGGGGTTCAACCATCATCCTTGGATGAGAAGTGCCCAGAAAGGTGACGGCTGCGCCATGCTTTGCGTGTCCAGCTGAAGGTCATTAGGAATACGGCTTACAAGCATGATCCAAATTGTGATGAATTGTGTTATATTGTGTTGGTATTCAGTCCCTCCATATCGTCTCATCATCGAGCATCAGCATAAGACTTAGTTGAGCTCAGGACACAGTGCTACAGTATCTACAGTCATGTACCACTCAGAAAATCTCAGAAATTGGTTTGGAAGCAGAACTTGTTTTGCGGTTTGATGGCACAAACTTGGCATGCAGCTGGCGGTCCTCCGAATGTCACAATCTTGAGGAGCCTCGGAGACTCCTGGCAAGTCCAAAGCGTCCAAGTCGAAGTGTTTGCGACTTGAGCATCGTTTGCACAGATGGACGTTATAAATACCTGGGGCCTAGAGGAGTCCAAACAGTTTCAAACAAGAGCAGCAGCTGGAAGCAGATCTTGCTAGAAAAAATGCTGATTCGTCTTGGTGATCCTTGTCTTCCGTTCCCCAGGCAACGTTCAAACCCCATTTTTGTGCAAAATATGTTGGCAATGGACACGCGCATTGCTTTTCTTTCTTCCGCATGTGATGTGCGTTCAGACGCACATCGACTCTGTGACCGTGAGAAATGAATGCGGTTAGTGGAAGCCGATGGAGGGAGAGAGGGGGTGAGAGACAAAAAACACGGGGAAAGGTGAGACAGACAGAAACAGAAACAGAAAGAGAGAGTGGTGGCCAGGCCTTTGTTGATACTTGGGAATGGTATGCTGTTTCACATGTCGGGGCTTATTTTTACGATTGCACAGCGCACGTAGCCATACAGTGCTCTTTTTAATTTGTGATTCATGATTCATGACCTACGAATCCGAACAGAAGGACCCTTTCAGCATTCCCAAACCTGCACAGCATAGCGGTGTCCAGCAAACCACCTGTCACTTTTCATGTCAATTCCAATCTACTGAAGATCTTGCGCCGGCGCTGGCGTTTCCTCTTCCTCGTTGCTGCAATGTATGTAGAAGCATGGCAGGTGAGAGCCACCGCGATTCTTGTAACTGCGATGGTGCTGGTATTTGGGTATTATTTTTTGGCACTTGTCCTCTTAGTGGTAGCCCTGGCAGCTACCATTACACAAATAGAACCTGGAAATGCCAAACCACCATGTGAAGGTCCACCTGCAGATGCAGTGATGGAGGTTCGATTCGACTCCAAAACAGAAGAAGTAGCCGCTCCAGACCCCATCGATGCCCTCGATGTGGATTCAAAGCAAGAGCAAGCAAAGACTTGGACGGATAGTGTGATGTTGGCGGACACAGGTGTTGCCATGCCAGCTGCACAAGTGGCCCGTGCCTGGTTGCAGATGGCACGGTCCAAAGATATTGTGCTTGCGCCCAGTAAGCCAAGACCGAGCCGCCCAGTAGTCCGCGCTGGCAGTTCCTCCGACCTTTGTGGCAGCATCACCGAAGGCGATACTGATCCCTGCAGTGAAGTAACTCCCAGGGGGCGCCGCACGTTGGTGGTGGACATCGAGCGAGCGGATCGTGCAGAGCCCTGGGGGTTTCAGTGGCGTCCTGGGATCCGGCGATGGATCTTAGACTCCCTTGAGGACAACAGCTTGGCCAGTGCATGGAATCAGCAGCAGGCAGAACGTGGTTTCAGGAGCCTGCAGCTTGGCAGTGCCTTGCTGGAGGCCAATGGATCAAAGCATAAGGTGGTTGTGAAGCAGGAACTGGACACGGCGCTGCATCTTCAGCTTACGTTCTTGTTGCCAGATGAAGGACTCATTGAGAGGTTGGATGCCCAAAGTCTGGAATGCAGGATCAAGAACTCGTTCTTGGAGGTCACAGCTGCAGACAGCCATGATGAAAGGCGAAATTTCTCAGATCCAGGTCCTATCATAGCAAAATCTTGCTCCTCTGCTCCAGAAGGCTATGGGAGTTGCGGTGGGCCAGTAGACAATACTGGGGGCTACGTCACCGAATCAGAAGCAGTGTCTGACTTGGTTGGCAGCACCGCCTTGATCGTTGGAGCAGCCCCGCACACAGGGAAGTTTTGTCGGATTGAAGCCTTTGATCCTCAAGTCCGGCGCTATGTGGTTCGTGTTTATGCAGATGGCGGGCCAGTGAGTGCCAAGCTGCGATTGGAAAATCTGATGCTTCAGCCTTCACTGCCAAGCTTCCCAGCGCCAGTCACCAGCTTTCAGGACTATCCAGCACCTCTTCCGGTCCAGCCTGAGGCTGTGCTGAATCCATACAGCCCATTGCCATGGTCGTGGCCAGAAGCTCCTCCAGTATTTCCCAGCGTATCCGATGCCATGCTGATGCAGAATCTTCCACACCCCTGGGCACCAGTTGGAGATGCATCTTGGTCTCAATATGCGTATGATGGGTATGGTATGCCGACCATGCTGGGATCAGAGATTTCCATGGAAGGCCCTCCAATGCTGCCCTGCATGCAGCCCTCGGTGCCCAGTTTGCCACCCTTGAGCACCACGCCCGTCACGAGTTTGCCGATTCCTTTCGAAGGGCCTGCAACTCTTCCCATAGACAGACCTTTGATGATTCACGCGCACCAAACTTTGGAGCAACAGGTGACCCGCCAACACATGGATTTGGAGGAGGAGCTCATCGCCCAGGCAGCGCAATCAGAGGTCAAATCTGCGGAAGCTCTTGACCTGCAAGATCCTCGAGGCTTACAAGGACATCCAGGAGAGCATCCAGGAGAACATCCAGGAGAGCTGCTGGCGCCTGAGCCTGGGACAGAGCCAGAAGTTAAGAAGAAGCGGCGACGTCGAAGACGTGGAAAACGCAAAGGCCAGAAGGCAGATGCTGCAGATGCGGAAGAACAGCACTCGGGATCTGAAGATTTGGATCCCACAGTTGGTCCAGCTGCAGCTCAAGCATGCGATGTTCTGCATGCAGATGAAACTGAGCCAGATGGATTTGCGAAGGCAGATGATGCAGGGTTCAGCTCTCAAGGGCCTCAAGGGGCTCAGGGGGCTCAAGGGTCTCAGGAGTCTTGGCGACCTCGCCTCCCAAGACAGTTTGAAACTGACCTGGAGCAGGAAGGGGCTGAAGGAATCCATGGCACCAAGGATTCTGTGGAGGCCGATGTGTTTGTAAGCCTAAATACAGAGCGAGGGCGGGCTGCGGACTGGAGGCCTTCTTTGCCAAGGTCACTGGTGGCAACTAAAGTTGCCAAAGAGAAGGCAGATGGTGCTGGCAACCCCGAAGTTCCACAGCCTGAGCCTATGGAGTCCAAATCGACACCTTGGCAACCCAGCCTTCACAGAGCAAAACTTCATAAGCAAGACCATATCGGAGCCAATCCCAAAGGGAGCGACGGAAAAAGTGTGTAGGGTAGGGGCTCGCTTGAAATCCTTTATAGTCATTAGTCTCAGCCAATGACGACTAATGACGGATGACATGGGTGGCATCATGCACAGTCTGATATGATGGCGCCTTTGGTCTTAGATTTGGCTCAATTGAATGCATGGGGATTGCGGCCTGGGGTAACCCGAGAAGTTGCACTGATATGCACTGATCAAATGGATGTTGGCCAATGCACGCTCATCTCGGTGGCCAAAGAAGCCTTTGTCCCGAGTGGTGTTCCTGGACGTGGATGGTGTTCTCAACTCTGCAGCAGAAATGTCAGCAGGCACCCCGTTCAATCGTGGATAAGTACTGAGTATTAATTATAATATATTATTATGGGGTATTATGGGTGTTTGTTTGGAGACACTCTCTGATTAAGGCATGGTGATTTGACATGTTCCGCTCCGCGGGTGCGGAATCGTGTGTACAGGAGTGTAGTGAAAGTGTTAGAATGCTTTGTTTCACTGCTTTGAGCGTGTTTTTCAATTTATTAATATTGGGCCAGGGCGGTGATGTTGTTTAAACTTTGCAGGTAGCATCCCTCCACCTTTTGCCTGGAACTGCTAATATCTGCTAATGCAACACCGTGTAGCTGTTCAATTTTGGTCTACTATTCATAATATCAATTTGGCATGGCTGTCAGAGCGAAATGTTACTCCACATGAGGGCCCGACTACATCCCAGTGGGCACCGGTGGCTTGTGGTTGGAGAGGCTGGCGAAACTGGCGAAACCCTTTTCGACAGTTTTGATACACATCCTGTATGTGTTGATGGACTTTGAAGATTTTGAAGGACTTGGACTTTCTTCATCTTTCTTCGCTTCCGACAGATCTGTCTCTGCAGTTTCGGTGTGCACAATTTGCTAGGAATTTGTTGCAGCGACTCCGAGACTTGCTGCACATCGGTCAGGCCGGCAAGGAGCAGTCATTGGCTGGCAATCCAACCAATGGCACCACAGGTACAAGTCGTAGAGAGCAAGAGCCCCAAGACTTGATGCATCTTGATGCGATTCCACACCTGTTCTTCCTATGTCGATTATGTCGTCCTAATGTTTGTTTCAAAGGGTCTCTCCATGTCTCTCCAACATCTTCTTCGATGTGCAGAAGTTGAAACACACCAGCACTTCTTTTGCAGGCTTTTATTGTGATCTCTTCCAGTTGGCGCCGCGAATGGGAAGCTGTTGAGGACAGCCGAGATGGGTTGAGAATGTGTGCATGAGCACGTTGAGGATTAGGTGTCTGTGTGTGTACGTGTTTGTTTGGGGAACCGCGCTTGTCGATAGCAAGTGGCAGTGGGCCTGAACAGATCTGAATATATCTGAATATAATACGTGGATTCAACATCCTGTACTGTTTTAGTTGCAACATGATGCAACATGCATGAAAACGGCATTACCCGGCCAAATTGTGCACTCAGTTTAACAGCGTCAAACAATGGATAAAGCATGATAAAGCTGTAGGCGGGCTTCGGCTGTGCACATGATGCAATGTGGAACAGATATGAACAGGTATGACGCAGCCAAAAGCAGAGGTGTCAAAGGTGCAGTTGATCGCTTACAACTTACATCAACTTACAACATTCATCAACACTTTACAAATTCCTGCAGCACATTATAATTTTACAACTTTGATATGGATAATGATGATAAACAAGCAGTTCCTGCACTGCCTGCACTCACACTTTTATGCAATGTAATGTATATATTTTATAAATTTTATACGTCAATTTCTCTTGGGCCCTCGTGCACTTCTGCATCCGAGGCTCTGAAAGATTCATGTGCCGATGCGGGCATCGCACGATGGCGTTTTCTGGGCTCCTCGGCAGTGACCTTCACGTGAGTGACGCGGGCAGCTTTGCATTGATGGCATAAGAAGAGAGCATTTCTTGCACGGCTTCTTGAGTACTTGGTGCACGTAAGTAGGGTGAATTCTTGGATGTCAATGGGAGATCCCCAAGTTGTTTTGCTGAGGTCAAACCGCAGAAATGAAAGCGGCTGCACGCACAGCAGCCGGGCGACGTGTTGCAGAGATCTCCCACTGGCTTACGGCAAGAAGATGTGAGTTGCTGGGGCGCAGTTTGTGTGCTTGCATGTGTATGCATGCATGCATGCAATGTTTTTGTTCATACTTTGGTTTTCTTCAGTGTTCTTTGAGAATCAGAATGGATTCATTTCTTCGTAATCAATTATATGTATATATAATCATATATATATATTATAGTTTGTTTGATCTTGTTGCGTGACGAGTCCAGGACATTTAAATGACAGCTGCTTTTGACGGTCAGGCTTGGCGTGCAGCAATGGGTCGCGCTTCTTGGCCATGTTGCGAAAATCGCAAATACCAAGTGCATCCAAGTGCCAGATATAAAGTCATATGTACCAGAATGTGCTCCTGGACCTGACATGAGAAAAGTCTCCCAAAGAAGTGGTTCTTTCCAGATGCACTTGAGTTGATGATCATCAGATTTGCTTAGATTTGGCAGTTCTACTTGCAATCAATGATTATCAATGTAATTCTGAGATATTCCGAGTATGCCTGATGACGTTTCCCACTTAGATGCCCCAGTAGCGCATCTTAGATTGGATGATCTGGATTTGGCCAGCCAATGCCCGGAACACTTGAAGACCCTTGGCTTGATTCAAAAATGGAGGTGTCCAGAGGGGTACCACATGGATCCACATGGTACCACAATAGCCGGATGATTCTCGATGAATTATGGACAAACCATGAGAAACCTATTAAAATGATTTACAATGATTTAAAATGGATTATTCTTAGGCAATTTAGGGATACCCATGGATACCGCCATTTGAGGAAGCCTCCATGATGATATTTGTAGATTTTGCATCATGACTGTGCCCTGTGGGATCTCAATTTCACCTTGGCATGTTGACTCCAACCCTGGTGGATCTATGTCTTGAACTTACTTGAACTTGATGTTTGATATGTTTGCCCGGTGTCTCATTAAATGCGATTTGAATGAGACACGTATGTTTTGATGCTCACACCTTCAAGACATGTCTTCACTTTGAAGCTTCATGAAGTGTTGCCAGTTTCCAAGGAGGAATATGATACGAACGAGCCCCTATCATGGGTTGCAGCTCAGCCAGGTGGAAGCGGCACTGCAGGTGCTGATTACTGGTACCCGCTGGTACCTGATTTCTCAACATTTCTCAGCTACAAATCATTCGTTTGCTCGGTAGGTGTGGCAATTTTTGCCCAAAAGGCAACCACTCATGGAAGCTTCAAAAAAACAAACATAAATCACAACCTGTACTTCCAGGTGCTGGGATGCCGAGCCCCACTTCTGACAGTTCCTGAGAAATGCAAGGGCAAAGGTGGGCAAATCAGAGAATCGTTGAGTCATTTCGCCTGTCGGGATCATTGGGATCAGGCCCCCTGGGGTCAGCTGATGTCAGCTGAGTCACGAGGCATTGTGTTGGACATCGACGGTACGCTGATTGATTCAATGCCATGGCCCTGTGATTCCGTGCCACATCAGCCAGCACATATCGTGGAGGTGGGATTTGTTTGCACGATGAATGCACTATGAATGTATATGAATGTCTTGTGTTTCAGAATAGCCCCAGGATCCTATAAGGGAGAAACACGTTGCTGACTTGCCTGTCCAGATATATTTATCTGAATCTGCAGGGCCATACCGCGATTTTTCCTCGCCCGCACCTGGACAAGTTCTTGGACTTCTGCTTTGAACGTGGCTTGGAAGAATAGCAAGTTGAGGGAATCATTAGAGTCATTCATTATAGTCATGATGCTTTAAGTGATGCCAATTGAATCTATATAATTGATATGTTCATTTGCTCACCATCAGGTTTCACTGGCGTTGGTCTGTGGACAACTTCAGATGCAGATTGGTGCTCTTTGATCGTCAACCAGGCGCCAACCTGATGACTGCGAGACTCGCCCTCAGCCCTGATCCGCTGATATAACTACTGTAAACCCTTGGGACCGCAACGGAGGGAGAGAGAGAGAGAGAGAGAGAGACATTGTCATATACATTCATGTAACATATAAATAGTTATATATCCTGCTATATGATTAATTCCAATGCATATTTATCCCTCAAGATAATGTAATTAAAATTAGTGAATTAATCTCAAGACATTACAAGAACTATGCAACACGGGGCCTGAAACAGCCTCCAGGTATTGGGACCAGATCGCAACTGGTGTTTTCTGTGGTTCCTTGCTGGCACCTATACATGCCCTGAGAAAGAATTGGAAAGAATGAGCCAACATATTTTTTGATCATCCACTTGAAGATTTGGCTTCGCATCGACTAGCTTTCATCCACAGACATTTTCTTGTTTGTTTTGCATTATCAAGAAAGCCATGCCAAAAGCCCACTTCCCATACTGTAAGCATCGCAAATATGTATGTAAATTCAGGTCCCAGCAGCATTGCAGTGAGCATATGCGGGACAAGGATGGAAATGAAATATCGTGCCTTGGCCACGCTAAGAACACAACTTTGGTATCCCTCTATGACTCTCTGAGTGGTGATGCTTGATTGAGAATGGGTAACCATGGCCCAATGGCACAATGTACACTAGGCACGCTATTGCGCGCCAAGGGTGTGCAAAAAGCTGCGGAAGCTGTGGAAATCCAACACCAGGAGCTCACCGATTGAATTAGATGAGCCATGAACATGGCAGAGCTCAAAATCTGTGAGCATTCTGCAGTCACAATTGGATTCCAATATATTCCAATGAACCCAGCTGAATCAACTTGCGCAACATCCATGCAGGCGCGCTTATGGTTTTGACCGTTGCAGCAGCATCATCGTCGAGGATATCCTTAGTTCAGGTGTTCAGAAAAGGAACATGGACAAACAATTGGTAACAGAGAGTAAATGCATGTAGTAGATTCACAAAGCTTTGCAGTGTGCTGCCCCTTGCCCAACACAAAGCAGACCAAAACTGCCAAAAAGTACTGGTTCGGGAGCATTTGTGAACCTGCACCTTCCACTACGCAGGACACAAATCAAAATTGCTACTTTAACAAGGGCAACGCAATTATAGTGTGCATGCCTGAGATCTCACTGCATCCGGGAGCAGTAGATAAGGCTACGCTATGCCACGCTGCTCTTTATGATGTTTCAGCGCGGCTTTCCTTCAGCACATCTCAGAATATCCCGTTTCAACATGTTTCAACCGATAGCACTTGGGAGAGGTGGGCAAAGTAGTGCGTGGAGGATGCAGACATCAGCAGCTTGCAGTATATCACTGCTAAGGCCTAGCTTCGAAGCCGACAAGCTCGGTGATACTGTGCTGTTGAGTTTGATATCGTACCTACAGACAGAGGCGAGGATTGTGTCAGGCTGAAGTTTTGTTTGTGTTTTTGACAGCATCAGCTTCGTCATGTAGCTTCAACTCGCTTGGGAAGAGCTTCCTTTTGTAACATGTTGAAATGTACTATATTTGAACCAAGTGCTATGGGGAGACTTGTTGCCATGCAATTGCGAATCTTCTTGACGCCTATCAGATTCGGTTTGCTTGACACTGCCAGGTGCTGTCGCGCGAAGATGTGCGTTTTGCAGCCGGATACGTTCCCAGTTCTCTTCCTGCGGATTTTGATGGGAAACATTCGATCGACTCATAAGGCTGCCCAACAATTACAGAAAATGCAAGGCTCGAAAATGGAAAGCTGGTAGGGCAAGCTGGTTTCCCAAACCGCAAATGCCTTCCAGGACAACTTGGATTTGAAGACCTAGTTTGATGAGGATGTGTGTGAGCTACAACCTATCCACAAAGGGGCTGCCGGCGCGTCACAACAGAACTGATCTCGCTGCGCCAGAGACTGCGTTACCATGTGGAATTCATTCTCACGGCAGGCGGGGCGGCAGCAGGGTTGATGTGATTCATTCAAAAGCCGAAGATCATCGCCAAATCTTCTTGAAAGATTTGCAACCCGTCGAATGATACTAGTAGTCACCTGCGGCACATCCATGATCCAATATCAAAGAAGATGCAGATTCGTGCAGATGTACCCAGTGTATCCCAGTTTTTTTCCCTGTAAAAGAGTTCTTTAGCGCATGTAAGCTATGAATGCTGTCCAAGCCTAGAATGAAAGTCAATAGTAACATCCATGAGCGCCGTGACAGGTGCTTAGAAGGCCTCTTGACAATGGAATCATCGTCTTTGTGGCTCTGGGAATAGCAGTTCCCACCTTTCAGCTGGAATCCGTATCGGAACAAATCCCTGGATCACATGTGGAACGACTCTTGGCGTGTTTTTCTTGTTTGTCCTGTCACTAGTCTTCCAATGGAGAACCTTTGCCTTGGATTCGTCATGTGATCTATGCACTTGAGAATTAAAGGCCAACTCCAAACACTTCAACTTAGAAACATTCTTGAGTGGTCGGTGATTGTTGGTGAGGCTCCCTGCTTCAGTTTTCTCCTGATTAACGACTCAAACCTTTAAAAGCAAAAGGTATTTATACAGTAATGTTTTGTGTCCAAGCGAGCCGCTTATTTCCCCTAAACCCACTAAACCACTGGAAGAGTGACAGCTAAGGAGCACACAAAGACGACGCAAGTGTCATAGCAGCGGCTTTTTTTAGTTCAGGAAGCTGCAACCTGCGTGAAAACTGTGCCATCAGCTGCTGGATGCACAGTGTCAGGATTGGACTTGTGACAGCTTGTGACTATCAGCATCTCTATCAGCTCTCCCCACTTGAAAACCAAACCTGTCCAGACCTGATTGGTATTTATCTCTCATGAAGCAATTGACCATGAATATGAGATGCCATGAGGCAACTGAACTTGTAGTGCAACAGTCCACGTTAAACCTTCGACGCAGCTTTTAAGATGAGCCGCTCCGAAGCTGCTGTGGCTAGCCTACTTCGATGGCAACTTAATGTCGCAGACGTCTGGTAGTAAGTATATAGGCATAGGCTTTATTGCTTTCCTGAAAAAGTTTTGATGGAGGCTGTTGTTTTTGTGAAAGGGGGTAAGCCATGTCAGTTCTGAGTTCTGTAGTCAGTGTGTTGGTGGGAAGAATCAAAACCGTCAGACATCAAAAAATGCCAAGCTACTGAGGGCTCTGACCGTCATTCCAGACTCTTGGCCTCATGGCGAAATTTTCGGCCTCTGTTTCTGCTGTCTCTGAGGACAGGTCATGCAGAGTGAGATCCAAGTACTTTCGCTGGGTGCTCACTGTTTGTCCGGTTCTTGCTGAAACTGATTGATGGCTCAAACATTGACCTCTCCCAGGAGTCAGAGTACATCAGACTTGGTGATGGCAGAAGAAGGGCATCAGTTGGCGAGACTTGACTTGACTGAGTGAATCTCAGGCCTTTCCACTTCCTTTGCCATGTCCTGGATGGAACTTCAGTACTTTAGTGATTAGCGTGGTGGTTGCCAGATGTTGCCAGCAATAGCAACGTCGTAATCCCTCCGCCCCCAAGAGTCTGAGAGGCTCAGGCTGAGGCAATGGTACTTACAGAATCAGAATTCACTTGGACCATTTTGGACCCCTGTAAGCCCTATCAGACACATTCTTAGAGAACCTCATGACTCGCAGAATATCATACAGTCTCGTGGAATGGCATAGGCAAAGATGAATGGCTTTGACGCAGTGCAGTATGCTACTACTAACGCTAGCGTTAAGTCGTATCAGCTTGTAAAAGTCGTATCGGGAGGCCGTGCGCCTGGAAAAAGTTCAAGTTTGGCATCACCACAACTTTTAGTAATTGAACAATTTCATTGTTTTGGGGCCGTGCGGCTGGAAAAAGTTCAATTTTTTTATCGCGTTGATTTTAAAAAAATATGTTTGATCATTCTTTCAAGGGGGCAAACGCTGGTTGCTGCTCACCTGCTGCTTGCCTGCTGCTCCATGCTTGCTGCTCCATGCTGCTGCTTGCTGCTACTTGTTGCTGCTTACCTGCTGCTCACCTGCTGCTCACCTACTGCTTGCCTGTTGTTGCTCCAAGTATGGATAAAACAGGCTGTGCCATGGTGATTCTTCTTCCCTGATGTGACTTTCCACTACCTGATGTGACTTTTCTGTATCGCCGCCGTGCCATGGGGATGACGTGACTTTTCCCGCCTGATGTGACTTAAGTACGGTGCTAGTAGTGGCTATGCCATGCTATGCCACTATCCCCGTCAGGACTCATCTGACTAGAAGGCAATAGTTCTGTTCTGTTCGGTTCTTGCGCCTTGTGCACTAGCTTGTAATGCATGGGCTGCTGCGCATTGCCTCAGCCAAACCTTGAGATCCTTGTGTGAAACCCTCAGTGAAACCATCAGGACAGCGACGGTCAATAAATCAAATCATATCAAATCAATATCTAGTGAAGGGTCACAAAATGAGACCCAAAGATTAGCAACAATAGATCATACAGGTCGAGACGGTGAGATGTTGGATCTCCCACTTCCCACCATTTGCTCACACAGTCACTGAGGAGCAGCTTCGCAAGTTGCTTGGCACGTTTTGTTGGTGATGCCAAAGGTGAGCATGCCTTTTCCATTTGGCGTTGGCCCCTAGAATCAACCTGAATTGACCTTGTGATACCTCGCGTGCCAATTTATGACAACATTATGACAACATGGGGTGGGATGGGGACTGTTTTTTGACTAATTTTTGGATTTATCATGATTTATCGCTACAGACGTAGAAAACATGAGGCGATGCTTCATTTTTGCAAAGGAGGGGTTTGTAGAAGCTCAGTCTAAGTCGATCATGTTTTCTTCCAAGTGCTTCTTTGTTCTGTGAGACCAGGCTTATGCCAATCGTGGATCCTCGGCGCCAACTGTGGACAATGATGGTGATGATGATGATGATGGTGATGGTGATGGTGATGGTGATGATGATGATGATGA